CCGGGTCGCCGGACCAGACAGTGGACAGTGCTGCCACCTGACGACAAAGAGTATTGGGGGCGAGACCTTTGTCTAGGCCCCCTTGTAGAAAGTCCAGTACGCAGGAAACAGGCGCAGTGACTGGATCGAGACGGTAGTGGCCACACCACTTGGCGAAAGTGGACCAGGTGGAATCATATATCCTGGTCGTTGATGGCCGTCTGGACACCTGGATGGTACGCACAACCTCCTCTGACAGCCTTTGCTCTTCAGGAGATCCCCCTCAAGTGCCAGACGGCCAGCTGGAGCCACTGGGGGTCTGGGTGTACTATGTACTATGGCTCCCTAGCTGAGGGAGACTTGGTCCTGAGGAATCCGCCATGGGGATGACACCAACAGGCTGACAAGGTCGGCGTACCATGACCTGCGAACCTCCGGTGTTGTGGCCGAATGGGAATTTGTAGATAAGCCTCCTTCAAGTTGATGGATGTGAAAAGGTCCTGCTGGAGAATCCCCGCTAGGATAGTCTGCAGGGATTGCATCTTGAACCTCCTGTATGCGATGTGACGGTTGAGGTTCTTGAGGTCCAAGATGGCTCTCCACCCCCCTGAGTTCTTGGGCACCAGGAAGAAAACCCTCCATTCCTGGTTGGGTAGAACTTGTTCTATAGCATTGATCTCCAGGAGATGGTGAATTTCCAGGGTCATGAGTTCCCTCTTGAGAGGGCAAGAGGGGGTCGGACAGCGAATGAAGTTCCAAGGGGATTGGGAGAGAAACTCCAAGCAAAGCCCCTCCCTGACAGTCTGGATGACCCAGGCATCCTCCGTGGTCAGTGCCCATTGGGGAGCGAACAGCTGGAGTCGGGCCCCAATGGGAGGGGAGCGTTGATGATCACTTGGACTTGCGGAAGGGCCTGTTGGAGGCCCTGCCGAGGTTGGACCTGCGGTAGTTGAACTGCTGCAAACCCCTGTCCCAAAAGGACTGTCTGTCCTGGCACCTATCTCCCGACTGACCAGCTGGTCTGTTTGAGAGAGTGGAAGAGGGTCCTGCTGGAACGGAAGGACTGTCTCTTGAAATAGGGAGAGGATTTACAATCCTGTTTCTTGTTCAGGGTGGGCAGAACTTTCCGTTTATCTTTGGATTCAATCAAGAAGAGGTCTAAGACCTCCCCAAACAATTTGGACCTCTTAAACGGGGCAGACGCCAATTTCCACTTGTTCTTCTGGTCTGCCTGCCAGTGACAGAGCCAGACGAGGCAGTGGGAGGTCACGTTGGACGCTAGTGCCCTAGAGGCGAATTTGGCCGCGTTAAGGGAGGCATCAGCTGAATACTGGGACACCGCAATAATTTTTGTTATGTCCTGGCGAAGACATGTGTCTCCTGCCAGTAGTTTAGCCTGAAGCTCACGGAGCCAAATGACAGAGGCTCTGTTAAAGAAGGACGCAGAGGAAGAAGCCTTAATGGCCCAGGCCACCTCCTGATGAGTCTTGTGGCAGGTCATCTCCGCTTTTTGTCCTGTCTTGAGGCCTTCCAACAAGTCAGCCGGAAGGACTGAATTAGAAGTAAGAGCCGCTATAGGAAGGTCTACATATGGCAGTACCAGGATATCTTCCAGCACGAGATCAACTGAGTACAGCTTCTTGTCCCCGCCACTGGGCGCAGCCAGGGAGCCAGGCTGGGCCCACTGCTGTTGAATGACATCCATAAAGAGATCTGGGACCAGCACCAGCTCTTACTAAGGTGCCTGAACGTTAAACATGCTAGCATTGGGGTTAATCGGAGCGGAATCCGAGGATCCCTGCACGGTCTTAGGTTTGGTACCCACTTGGATGGTGTTCTTAGCCTTGTCCAAGATGGACTTAAATAGGCTAGGCTTAAAGAGCCCCGAGAAGGCAGGAGCATCCGGAGGAAGGTCCTCATCCTCTGAGAGTTCCTGCTCCTCTTGATCCGGGTCCTCCAAAACGGAAGTCTCACTTAATGCAGAGGACTCGAGATGGATGATGGACCCGCCTGGTGGTGGAGGGAGCCCCTTGCCTGGGCTGAGAGGATCTGGGAGCGACGGGTGCTTGGTCACACCTCTGCATCCCCTGGTCAATGACCTGGGAGTTGGCAAGGGCGACCACCGTCTGCATGTGGGCAGATAACTCAGGTTCCTGAGTTATGGCAGAGTCCGAACCAACGGGGTCCCTGGAAGGAGGAGGAACATGCCAGGCAAGGATGGGATCAGCAAGCCCCCCGAGGTTAGGGTCCTCAGGGGCGGGCCCTGACTGAGAGACACATGAAAAAGCAGGAGAGCCCGGTTCAGCCAGAGACTTATCCGGGGAGAGGTCCTGGGAGTCCACTTCCTCATCAATTACAGACAGGCGATCCCTCCCTTGGGAGTGGTGGAATGACTGACCCAACAGGGGGGGTAGGCTGAGGGCACTCCCTCACAGCCTGGCATTGGGCCTTCTCAAATTGTTTGTCGAGAGCCCGCTGCCACCTCTCTGCATCCCTAGCCACCACCGCGGAAGGTGCCTTATAGGGATGGATATTCTGACTGGCCACCCTGCCCTTCTTTACCCCCTTGTCCCTGCCTGCAGAAGTTCCCTTGCTAGGGGCTTGAGAGGGACCTGGTTTACCATCAGCTGAGTCAGATGGGGCAGGATGCTCCATGGCCTGATGGCACAGACTTCAGACAATAGGCCAATACAGGTGGAAGTCAGGAGATGAAGGATATCTGGTGGCTGGTGCTGGATCAGATGACATGCAAATATTGTGGAAGCAGGAACAGTTTGTGGAAAAAAATCCAGAGTAGTAAAACTGGGGCTCTGCAATGAGTCCAATGAATCCAGCCACTCGACGGGAGGCAAGAAACTGAAAAAGCAGCTGAGGCTGCAAGACCAGGCAGATAGATCAGGGAGAATTAGTGGATAAAAGGCAAAAAATTTAGATAAAAATCCTCCCTGTGCCAGTGTATGACCACCAGGTGACCAAGATGCCAGCGCCACTTGGGGAAACGATGGAGGTGGAAGTGACCCAGCAGGAGACCCGATCGAGGCCAGCTAACCACCCTGCGGCTATCTGCAGAAGCGTGGCTGAGCAGAAACACCAATGGGAGAAAAGGCGCGAATTCAGGCCCTCCCAATTGGCCACCGATCCAGTGCGAGGGAGAAGAAGGAGGTAAAGATGGCGGCCACGCAATTTAAAGCAACTGCGCACCCCTCCACGGCAGGCTACGCCATCCAAAAGGCGAGAAAAACGCAAAAAACCCACAATAATTCCAACTAAAAGGGGAACACCAGCAGCCGCCAGAAGCCTTGTTGCTCCTGCCGCGCTTTAAAGCAAAAGCAGCAGCTCTCCGCTGCCGTCCAAAGGCAGCGCGGCAAGCGGAGCACCCACCACCACCACGCCTACCTCCAAGTCTCTAGGAGAAATCAAAACAACATGAAGCAAAAAGAGGGAGACAAATGAACTGCTAATTATAGGAAAAACAAATTAAGGAAAAAGAAAAGGAAATACTAAAAGGAGAGTCCAAGCCTAGATAAATTATGCTGGAGCTCACAAATATAAGTCCGCAACGGGCAGACTGAGGAAAAATTCTGGAGCCAAGTAACACCAGGAGGTGTGGCCAAGGAAAAAGATTCCTCAGTCCCAGGGCAACCAGACTTATTTAACCCGGCACTTGGACTCTCCAAGCGGTGCACAGGAAAATATCTTATTTTGTTAACAACATGCTATTAGATCATGTTTTGCC